AGCAGCTTAGTTCCATACTTGCAGACCAACAAGCTACAAAAAATGCTTTCTTCTTTACAACAAAAACAAAACAAAAAAAGAAAATAAATTAGAAAAGAACCAATGGAAAGAAATAAGATAAAATATGCCTCGCGGATATAAACTCTCAACGGAGAATACGACAGAAATCGCAGAGGAAATTCGCTTACTAATGTTAAAATTTATTTGCGACGCGACAAGAAGCAAAGTTGTGATGTGAACAGCATCGATGGATCTGTACACGGCTGGGATGGATTTACTACTCGTGTATGAGTTGGATGCTGTACTGAACACGTTAAATAAAATATTTAAACAGAAAAAGTTTTTACAGATCCAAAAGCAAACAAAGCCAGTTTGTCTTGTATCGAAATAAATGAAGAATAGATTAAAATGAAAGAAAAAAGGTTTTTGGGTAATGTAAATAAGTGAACCTGAAGTTGATCTTGCGTTCGTAAATCAAAAAAAAATATATTAAAGAAAAAGCTAGAAAATACCAAGTCATGCCTGCAAGCCCACAACCCAGACAAACTAAATTAATTCGAAAAGTAAGCTAGGTTTCAACTTTTCACAATCGATCAGAAGATAACTGACTAATCCGGTTGGATCGTTGATCTTGTACTTTTGGCTTACATATAACAAAACATCAAAAATAATTTAAAAATTATTAAAATTATTTTAGCTTGAAGCAATGTTTCTACTTTACATGAAAAATTTCGGTACACAATTGCCAGATACTTTGGGCTGTGTTACCTGAGTGCATCTGTAAGATGCATTCTATGCTACTGCCGACTTTGCTGCTGCAGTACTTCTTATGTTCGCGGAGAAAACTGTTTTCTTTTTCGAATTTGTTTGAGGAAAAGTACTGCAAATTGCGGTCACGTCAACAATAGGCACATACAGCAGCCAACAACAACAACAACCACAACAAACAACGATGCAATTTTTCAATATTTTTGTTTTTCTTCTGTAATTTCATTTCCGATTAAGTCAACGGGTAGAAATCACGTAAAGTGAAGTATTTTTTTAATGAAATTTCTGTATTAAGTAATTCACTGTTTCATTTCCTTAGTTGTTGTATTTCATCAAATGGCATTTCATATTATTTAATCAAATTAACATTTTTTATTAGGCCATTTTTTATTAAGACACTCAATAAGCAAATTTCTATTATTTGCATTATTTTCTTTTAAGCACAAAATTTCACAATGCGTCATATTTACATTTTAAAAGCATACCAACATATTCAAATAATATATAAATATTTTATTATAGGAATTGTTGTTGTTATGATCTAAAACCACAAAGTGGATTTCTTGAATTTTTATATCTTTTTCACATTTGTATCTTTATTTTTTGCACACACTAATTTCTTGATCTTGCTTGACCGGCGCTCTTTACCTTGCGGTTAACGATTCTTCCACAAAATAATTTTTTCTTTAGATTATTTTTTTTTGTTTTAATAAAAAAACATTTCGAAAAGATATCCGACCGCCACACGTCTTCACAACTTGAAACGAACTCACCAAATGTCAACTCTGTAGATTCTTGCAGCTTTTGAAGTTACCTGTTGAGATCGTGCAGGTGAGATCACTTCATGTATGGTGAGTTTCTCTGCTGCAAATGTGGATCGAACACATTTGCAAAAATACTGGTTCCCGCTTTTATTTTGTTTTGTTTACATTTTTGTTGCTTCAGCGTTTATGTTGTGTGTTTTGTTTTGATTAAATTTCTGCTCTTGGCCAAATGGTGTCAGCAGGGAATCAACTGCGCTCCACTTACGATTAAAAAAATAGTGGCACAAGTAGATCCAATTACGTTTAATGCGTTCGAGTTTTCGTGCAAAAAAAAACGAGTTTAGTATTTTAATTAATTTTATTACATTAATTATTTTTTTTTAAATTTATTAATTCATTTAACTTAATTATTTCAATAAAATAAAAATAAATAACAAATACAATAGGTTATGCTAATGTATTACTGCCTTAGATGGCTTGAAATTCCTTATGTAGCCTAGATAATATAATCATTATTAATATTAATAAGACCCAAGAAAGAAGAAGCATTATAATCATAGAAAATTCATTATAAATATATAAGATTAATAAAGGCTAAAATGTGTTTTATTTAGAATTTTCTGATAACAGATAGAGATAGAAACTGTGCCGTCTACAATATACTCCTCTTTACAAGTAAATTCATTTCTTTCTGGACAGTGATTGCTTTTTTTCATGTCCCAAAGGCTCATCTTGTTGCGATAATAGTGCAAGATGTAGTAATCTTAATTTGCCATACTGTAAGCGATTTTGTTAAATTTTTATTCAATCAGAAATTGGTTGATATTAATAATAATTAAAAAATGAATAAATATTACCGGATACTAATTAAATATAGAAGATATATTTTCATTATTAATCCATTTTCTATTAGAATTACATTCAATTATTTGAATGAAAGAGATAAAGTAGAGTGAAGATAATCTAAAAAAAAGTCTAACAGACTTTAAACAGTTAATAGATTCTATTATATATTCTATTCTATTAATATAGTATTAATATAGAATATATTCTTAACATTCTATATTAACAGTATAGTATTCTACTTAATATAGAATAATAATTTTATACTTAACACAGAAACATATGTACAATCCGAATGACTTATTTATAAAAAAAAAAATATTAAAGTCAACTGGGTGTAAGATTTATTATTAATCAATCATTTACATTTCGGATAGATTTGTAGACTTTATAAAGATAAGTCGGTTAGGTTCCGACGAGCTCCTGGGAGTGAGAACACATGGCAACCTATCTCATTGCATTTAACTAAGAAAATGCCATCACAATCTCTGTCGTCTTTAATCCAAACTGTTGTACAGCCTCCATATAGTGCCACTAAATAGTTACCTAGTTACTTGCTAATTAATAAACTCATAGTGCGTTCACCGATTCCTATCCCTACGACTATTACGTTGGGTTGTGCACATAGTTCGGCGTTGGTCTTATAAAATCAGCCGCTAGTTAAAAATGGCGCTAGGCCGAAATCCTAAAATGGGTTATTACATAATTAAGTAAATAGTGTCTTTCAATCTGTTTTATAAGTATTAATCAAATATTCAATCTACCAATTTCTTTTCATGAAAAATTAATGTTAAAGGCGAAAACACAATATTTTACGAAAAATCTTTAGTAGTGCTACATCAAAGACTTGGCAGTTTAGTAACCCGTAAAAGAACCTACCTTAATGTTATTTAAAATCAAAATAAAACAATCTATTAAAATATCATAAGATAAATAACCTATTTATTTATTTATATTAATTTTACTTTTCCTTATTTTTAATTTTCTTTCATACAATTTTTGCCAAGAGTGCTGAAATCTTATTAATTAAACTATTTGTATGGATGTCTTATCACTGTTCTCATTTTTTAAATCTTACCATAAATAAATTTTTTCAGAAACACGTACTCATTTCAACTCAAGCTTTGTTACCATAACATAAATACTGGGAACAGTTTTCCATGTACTTTAATTCACATTTCTGTTATCCGTTTAAATGTTTTGTTTAGAATAAGTGTAAAGCAGAATTGCTGATAACATGTGTTGTAAAAGCATCTGTTTTTGCAAACGAACAGTACAAATATTGTAACATAATTTTAGGAGGAGACGATTTAATGTATTGCAAAGAAAACTTAAGAAATTCATGGGAAAATTCTTAAATATAAATTACAATAAATATTTATAAATTTTTTATAATTTGATTAGTAAAAATGACTAATTGCACATTAAACATGTGCTATGAATGACTAAATTATGTCAAATGCTCTTAACTAAAAATACTGGGAACATTATCTATTATAGGACTTTCGAACTGAAATTAATTTCTTCTTAAAAAGTGTATATGTAAATTGAAGAGTATTGTACTTTTGTGTACTTAAAATTGTTTTCCAACATGAAAAACTAATCCAATTATCATATTTTTCATTTATGCTCTCAAAAGTTACTCTAAAATGACAAGGTTTTGAAGTGACTTTCGTAGATTTCAATACTATCCAAAATAAATTTGCTCAACTAAAGGATTTTTCTTTTTCAACATATGATAGGAATGTGACTTAATCACTTCTATCCAACCACCCATTATATGAACACAATTTGATTGATGATTGATGGAGAGACATTGATGAGGATGAGGTTCGTTCTTCATAGGAAGGCTTATTATTGCCATATTGATAAAGTTTAAACAAATTCAACAGTTTCTCTCTAATCACAGATTTTGATGCTTAATCATAAAACCGATCTAATTACAGTAATGTTATATAAAAATTGAATTTTTTAAACATGTTATTTGAATATAGTAGATTTATAATGATGATAAGGGTTTTAACGGTTTAGAAAATAAAATAAAGAAGACTTTATGCTAAAAGGAATAGCTAAATAATTCCTTACTGATAATTAATAATTTTTTGCAATATAAATCTATTTTTCTCTTATAAACACATTTTGAACTCAATTTAACTAAAGAAAATATCTTTTAGATTTAGAACTAATAAATCAATAGTTTATCAATAGTTTTAATTAGTTCGTAACCATTAAGTGACGCGGTTTATACTGCAAACATTCATTTCTTTAGTGGTTACTCTTATTTTAGTTCGAAAACAAAGTTAAACCACTAATAAATAGTAATGAATGTTACTCATAGAACAACGCGGACTATCTGCATCTTTTGAACATCTTCACCTTACTTGATGATAAAAAATATTTATGCAACGTTGTATTAGTGTTCTTATAATATTAACCCAAAAGTTTACTATCTACTTCTAAAGCACAGATCTTACTCAATTGTTGATTTTATGCATTTAAACAATAAAAAAACCGAAAACATATTTTTAATTATATTATTTAAAATAATGTAATAAATACTATTTTATACATAAACCACTAAATATTAAAAACATAAACAATTAAAACATAACAAAAAATACCGAACTACAGAGCATCATCAACTTGAAATTGTATGAGATCCTCTACGGGTAAGCGGAAAAGTGAGGCAGTCTTAGCCTCATTTGCCGCCTGATCGAAATTTGTGCTCATATTGAAGTTGTAATTGCTGGGCCCGTCAATGAACTCATAATGTGGTGAGGATGCTGAACTATCCAATTTATTACTGACCAATGCACGAGCAAAAGGGTAAACTGGCATATCAGCGGCGACAATGGGATGTTCGAAGTCAACAAGTTCATGCAAATCCTCATTATCACTACGAGCTGTTGCTTTTTCTGCTTCGTCAGGGAATGTGACCTTATCATCCTTAACACCTTGATCGCGTGGTTCAATTGGATAAATGGTTTCGCAATCATCCAAATTAGTGTTGCGATTAATATTTGCAGCGGAATTATAAAAAGGATTTGTGGAAGGTTTCTGCTTAGGGAAAACATTGAGGTGCACCATTAACTGACCATTGCTGGGGTTGATCTGGTTAAGTGCTTGTGTTGCGCTGGCTTGATGTGTACGTATTAGTTCGGATGGTATAAACGGTGTTTGTTGATTAGCAGCCGGAAAGACTATATGATGCTGTTGTGGTAGCTGTGGTTGCAAATGTGGCTGAAGCTGTGGTTGAAATTGCGGTTGAAGTTGTGGTTGCAGCTGCAATTGCGGTTGAGGTGGTGGATATTTTGTATACTGATCTGGAAAACTAATTTGCATATTGCTGGCCTGTGCGATTGGTGCAGGTGGAAGTTTCATATGCGGAAAGACGGGTGTACCAACAGCATTTGGTGCAGCTGACTGGTAAGGATACAAATCAACGAATGGGTTGCGTAAAACCGTATATGGACGTGTAGTTGGTACTAGCTTTGCTTCATCCATATTGTAAGGATTCACGTTGTAGTCTTTGGTTGGTGGCAATACTGGAAATATGTCAAGATTCACTTTGAAAGGTACTCGCTTTGGTTTCTGTGCGCCATTGATGGCAAATAGTTGCGGTGGATATTGCATATACGGATCTGCAGCAAAAGGTAATTGATTGCTATGTTGCAGCAATAAATTGCTAGGAGCGAGCATTTTCTTTTGCTTTTTCTTGCTCTTTGAACGCTGTGTTTGTATTTGTTGCTGCATTGCCAACAAATTAATATCTTGTGGTGATCGTGGCTTAAATGGATAAAATTGATCCATGGAGATACGTTGATATGGTTGCGATAATGGATTATGGAAAGGTGTATGTGGTGGACCTACCATGTGCATAGGTATTGACATGGGAAAAGCAATCTGCATATTATTTTTATTGCGCTTATTGCGAAAGAAGTTCATAAGCCCACTTGATTTAAGATTTTTGAAAGAACCGGCGATGTGTAAACCTGTAGGCATCATAACCAACTGCGGTGCTTTGGTAGTCACACCATTTAAATTTAATTGCTGGAGTATATCCTGTATGTTATTTATTCTGCTGCGTTCAGAATCTGTTGCCTTTTTAAATTCTTGTGGTTGTGGACCGTTGTGTGGAAAATGAAAAGGTTTAGGTGCCGCTTCATTAAGCAACGAATTTTCTGTTGTTGTTGTTGTAGGTGTGGCTAAATATTGTCTACGTACCAATAGTGAAGGATTACGTGAAGTTAAGCGGGGTGGCCGTGGAATTTGATCATGCAATTCATTCTTAATAGGTGACATGGTGGATATGCGTTTTGGTAGGCGTTCATAGAAGTGATGCTGATAAGCGTTGTTGGCAGATGTTTGTCTGATTTCGTTGCTCTGGTTTGAAAGTGCTACCGGAGTAATTAAATCAACAATTGGAACTGCTGTTGGTAGTAATTCAATTGGTGATTGAGACGTTGGTATCGCTTTCGTGCGCCATGTACCATAAGCGGCGGACTGCTCATGCGCACTGTTGTTACCACGCTCTAATAAATAATTATTTTCACCAACAATTGCATGTGATTCCTCTAGTGAATCTTCTGATTGTTGTTGCGATTGTAATGTTGTTTGATGCTGTGTTTGTTGTTGAATTTGTTTTTGCGGCTCTTCTATTTGCTGCTGTTGTAGTGGTTGCTGGGGCTCTGCTTGTTGATATTGTTGTTGATATTGCTGTGTCGGCTGCAACTGTTGCTCTTGTTGTTGGGGCTGTAGCTGAGGCTGTTGCTGGTGCAATAACGGTGGCAATGTCTGCAACTGTTGTGTTTTAGCACGCATTTTTCGTAAAAATCTTCGCTTTTTGGCTCGGATAAGCTTAAGTGCTGGCAGTTTTTCGTGTGTGAAATCTGTGGTAATTAATTCCTTTCGATGATCGCGGCGTCTCGGTGTCGCTTCTGTGCTTGTTGTTATGTTAACGAACTTAGGACGATAACTTTTAACGTTTCTTGATTTTATTGTTGATGTTTTGTTATTGTGAACTTCTGCTGTAGATGAGACCTTGACTATCATAAAAGACATCTGCAATTAAATACATAAAACGAATCATTTTTGAAAACCATTTTCATTTTACTAATCAATTTACTAATTTGCTAATCATTTTACTAATAGAAATACAAACAATAATAAAAAGAGATAAGTTTTGTTAAAGAAAATAAAGTATACTTGAAGTATATATTGACTTATTGTAAATTTATTTGTCTTTTATATATGCAAAGGTTAGAGGCCAGCTTCAAAATGCCACGATAACTTACTATATTTATTATCTTACTAGTTATATTAGTCTATAATATGTAGGTCAGTAGACAACTCTTAAGGCAGAATAAAATTATACGTTAAACAGTAATATATCCTGAATTATATATTCTATGATACAGTAGGATGTACTAACAATATTGACGGATTATAAAATTTTGATAGCAGCAGATGAATTTCTTATGAAGGCTGCACAAAATTTTTGAACTTTACTTAAATATATTCTTGGCTATTAAACATATATGATTCCAACAAAAAACTAACAACCTAGAAGTTCCAAGTTTATGTTCATTAATTACTCAAACCACTTAAGTTATTGTCTGTTATTTTCAAACTCTCTTACAACATTCTTAGTTAAGTCCCACCATTTGTCATGGTTTGGACGTCGATTATCGGTCTCTATTGATGTTTTATGTCGTTAAAATATTGGTAATATCTAGTTTGATTAAGTTTTAGATAATGGTTTGAAGCCTCAAGGACCGAAATATTTTGGTGGCAATAAGTACACGTATTAACGGCATTCTTCATTTTCTAAAGAACATCAGCAGACTTCTTGATATAGAGACTTCTTAATATAAAGAATATAGAGAAAAATTTCAAAAATTAAATTTCAAAAAACTTTTCAAACCCGCAGAGCTAATATAGTTCCTTGGCTTACGACAAATCAAACAAATCTACCAATGATCAATATATATAGTAGATATATTGTGATCTTTGTAAATTGATATCATTGAAAATTTATTCAAAACGAAAATATCGACTTATTTCAGTAATAGATTTAAATACAATACTCTTCACACTCACGTTACAGAGTTAATTTATGACAAGGTAAATATGTTATGTATACCTATATAGCTATAGGCTTATATACGTATACTAAACATTATCAATTACCACTGATCAGTAAACTTAATTATTATCATCTATCTTTTTTAAGACGTAAATGTACTTTTTGTTATAAACTGAAATCAACCCATCAAGAATCACTTATAACCAGTATAATTTTAGTACATGTTTTCACAGATACAATCCGTAGGATTATTAAGAATTATTAAGTAAGCCAATCTAAAGGACCTTAATTATCATTTTGTGACTTTAAATAACGTATGTCACAATTCAATGATATTTGGCAATTATTTATTAAGTTAAATCTATTTAAACAAACAAGAAAGAACCAGATTACCAAAAAAATGCTACGTATCAAGTGAAATTTATTCCACGTCTACTGTATTTGCCTGATTTCACCTTCAGCAAATACTGACTTCTTGCAGATCTTAAAATTATTCCAGAAAGAAATCCACGCAAGAAGATTTTACTTCAATAACGAAGTCACATCTGAAACAAACACTTACTTTAAGGCTAAAGAAAAGTCAACTTGAATTTTTATTTATTTATTCTAAATTAAAGTATTTTTTTTGTACGTATATATTATAAGACATAATTGTATAAAATGTTTCCTTTTAAAATACATTAAACTTAAAAAGTTATTCCAAAGTACCAAAGGTCAACCTTTGGTACTTGCAGTCTCAACTTGAAACAGCTGTATGGACTGCCAAAAATACAATTAATTAATAAATAATAATAAAAAATTTGGTGTTGTGATTTACTACTGCTCAAAATACCTCTCTATTAAAACAATAGTTTGTATTAAGAAACATGTTTTCTTTCGTCATAATTGACTTTAAAAATCAAAATTAAAAGGTTATTCCTTGGTCCAACAAAATAAATAAATTATATAGGTATACTATATAAATGCTTATATGATGGATCCAATAATCCTTCAAAAGAACTTGATATAATAAAACACTTCATATTTTATGTTTTTAAAATAATACACAAAAAAGGAAGGTTCTTGAAAGAAATAATAAAACATTATAAACATTATAAAAAATCAACTCTAAATCCCCTACCCTCCTGTGATTGAACACCGGTTTTTCTGGAAGCATTAAAAAAGGATCAAATTTCCTAACAATCGATTTTTGTATTTCTGTGAATGAAGTGTTACTGCAATATTAAAGTAAAGCACGTCATAAATATATATACATGGATGTATACCACTATTTTTGATTATTTTTACAAAACATTTTAATAAAAATTTTCTAGTTTACAATAGGAAACCCACCTAACAATTAACATTGTGTTACCTAGAAACTTTCTGTAAGTTTCGGGAATGATATTTTGGTTCAAGAAAAAAAAATAATTGTATGGGAGTGAGTAATCACCGGTATATTAAGCGGCCAAGATTAGGGGCCGCAAACACCATTAAATAAAAAAAAAGAAATTATTATCTATTTTCCATTGTTTTCGTAAAACCGAAATTTAAAACAAATTATCTACTCAATTTTTCAACAAAATACCGCATAAAATTATTCTTTATTTATGAGTAATAATAACTTTCACAAATTTATGCATTCTGGTTCAATAGATAAATTTGACCAATTAAAAAAAATAGTGCATGATAGATGTTAAAATCTGTCATGAAAAATATGTTTACAGTATAAAAAGGATTTAATATGTTATATGCGAAATATGAATGAAATAATTTTGACAAAAATGATATTTCTACAATAACGTAAATTTTCCCAAAGAATCAACTTTGAGAGACTGCAATTTCCGAACTCAAAATAGGTAAAAACATATTAGGCATTCACTGTATTTAATGGATCAAGAATTGAAATATGATATATTATCTTTTATAGATAAAGAACAAACTGTGAAACATTTACGGAATAGTGTGCTGCAGTGATACATAAACTGTAGAAACACTTTGTTGAGTCCATAATATCCAATGATTATTTAATACTCGATACA